GCTTTACTTGAGTTGTAATCCTTTCCTAAATCCTTCCTGTCTCAAGTATTTCATATCAAACTCCAGTCTGCACCTCCTGAGCTCAGTCTGGCTTTAAGAAAGGTCAAGTAAGGTGACCAGGATCCAGACACTGGATTTCTTTATCAACATCCTTTTTGCTACCAGACTTGCAATTTTGCAGCCACACTTAGTGATTGCTCTAAAACTGCTTTGGAGTACAGTAATTGCCTGCACCTTTTCTGTCAAGGTATATTGTAGGTTCTTACCACAAGCTCATACCACATAGCCTGGAGTACAGCTGCTGTCCATAAACTAGAAATTGAGTATAAGCTACCGTGTCCAATGGCACCATGTCTCATCCTTCAAAGGAGGTATTAATCATGTTCTGGACTTTTTTGTATTACTTGGAGATAATCTATTTTGGTTTTCCCATTTGATTTTGCTGAGGTTATTTCAAGACATTTGTTATAGTCCAGCTTATTCAGAGTTGGTCTGCAGAGAAGCTTGGAGGGCCAGAGCTCAGGGAACTTTAAGTATCATAATTTTCCTCTAATAAATGAAATAGCCACACTAAAGCCAAGACTTCACTATAAACCCCTCCTTCAGCTGTGCACTCACTGATTTTGGGGGAACCAAGCCCTTGAGCCTTGGCACCATGTGTTGTAACACATTCTGCTTCTGAACAGTTGTGTCTGGTGGCACATTGTCCCCGCCAGGTACAGTGTAAATAAGGAACAAGGACAGCAACTCCACAACATGGGCTCATGCAGACAGCCTCTGAAAATACACCTCCAAGTGAGCTAAGGCAGTTGCAGCAGTGGGGGACATGATTACAGGAGATGGGCAGCTATGGCAGGATCAGGTCAGCCTCAAAGCCCTTACAATATGAACTTGAAGAGTTCAAGATGGACTTAGCAAATACATTCCATTTATATTTATATTTTAAAAAATCTAATAATATGAACAATAAGTTCTTTATTCTGTGAAATTGCAGATACTTGTGTTTAGTGCCATTCTGCTTACTTGGAAAGCAATCACATCCTTTTTTCTTGGTACAGAAGAGCTTGGAAAACAATTACTACACATCCCACACCAAAGCATATGTAAAAGATTCCTGAGAAGTATGTGATCAACTCATGTGTTTTGTGAAATCAAATTCTTTTCAGCTATTATTTCCAAGAAATTTCCAAGAAAAAAAAGAAACTATTAACCTCAGTTTATGGTGATAGAGAATTCTTCTATTAAAGGACTTTGCCCCTGTGGCAGGTGCCTTCATGATTCTTGGTGAAAGTAAAAGCTAGTGTCACTACCTGCACTGTGGTACTCAGATGCTTCTTCCAAGCTCTTAGTATACGCTACTTCAGAAATGTGTACGTACTTCAAACATCTGATTCTTCCCTTTTAATACTGCTGCAATGGAGCTGAGGTCAGCAGGATGACTTCTGAAGGTATATACCTGAAAAGGAGGGGGATTTAGGGCCTGAGGATGCCACCAGTTTGTTGATAAGAGCCAAGGACAGGAGTCAGCTGAGGAAGGGGTGCTCAGTTTGTGAGGCTCCATCTCAGAATGAAGCAGAAGGGGCAACTCTCAGAAGAGAAAGTGCACAATGTAGTCAAGATTTTGGCAAAGATTGAGAGGTAGCTGCAAACACTGCATCTCTAAATGGTAAAAATCTTGTAACCAGCTTTAGGTCTTGGAGATTTCCACTGCTTTCAGTAAGAAGTAAGGGATCCTTCAGGCCAAGTGCAAAACCACAGAGATCCAAGGCTTTGAAACTTGCCAGGTTTCTCAGCTTTCTGATGAACCGTATGGTATCTGACATCAGCTGGTTGGTCTCTTCTATAGCTACTGATACTGCTGGTATTTAGCCTTTCTGTCTCTGGAAGAATTACAACCAAAAAGAACCAGAAGAAAAAATTTTAAGTCCATTCTCCTGTTCTCTCTAAGGGCTACTTCACAGAAGAGGTGGAAATTTCCCAGAAAAGAAAAAAAAAAGGAAAGAGGTTTCATTTCTTTATTGCCTTACCTCTTGGGTTCTTTGTGGATTTCTATTTAAAAAGAGAAATCACAACTAAATACAGTCTTCCCATCAGAAAACTATACTTCCCTAAATATTTCATGAAGTATCAACAAAGTTGATATGGGGGAAAGAAACAGTAAAACAATGAGCCACTCTTATTTGGCAGTGCAATGCCAAGAAGATTCTGAAAGATTTTTTTGTACTTCATTGAATGGCCATCTCTATATGGAGCACAGGGACTGGGCAATAATCTCTGTACCATCATCGTGGTACCGGGGAAAGCTTCCTCGGATCCTGACTGAAAAGTAGGGTGGAATGAGAGTGGCGCTACAAACAGCCAAGGACAAGAGCAGCTGGCAATGTTATTCAAAATAGTAAGCTGGTTGCAACTTGAATTTTGCTAGGTTGCAACTTGAATTTTAACTGAAGGAAGGCTCTCCATAAAATCAGAACTCTATATGTCAAGACAAATCCAGATTTCAGTTTACATCTGAATGCATCAACTGTGTGGAGTCTAACGAGTTGAACTGAGGTAAGGAGAAGAATTTGTTCCTGCTTCTTCAAACACTTTAGGAGAAGCCAGATCTCAGAAAGGGACAAACTGGTCTCCCTGGAGCAAGTCACACAGATCATTGCTTATGTGTCAGAAAGGAAAGAGAGATTTTCTGAAGGTAAAGAATAAATGTTTGGAAAAACCCTGCTAGTCCACAGTGGCCCTCAGGCTACACAGCTGGGGTCTTTCACATATTTTCAGGAGTGTAACACCAAATTTCCAACTTACTTATATTCCACAGACAAGAGAGTGTCTCTGGGAGTGCTCAGAGGTCTCCTACCCTGACACTTACAGAATACCAGGGATGAAATGAAGGGCACATCATCAATCTGAGGCAATCCAGATATACCAGGTTACTTGTCAAGGAAGCTCAGGTTCTAAATTATTTTAAAGCATTTGGACATCTTTTAATTTTATTTCTGAAAAAAGTTTAGAAGGCAGTGTAGTAATGCAGTTAAAAAAGCTAAAGAATTAATTAATTACCTAAGGTATTAGATTAGTCTGTGACACAGAAGATATACCATCTCCCCTTCTATTAAGTACAGTCCTTTGGCTTTATTAACAAGGATTCATTCAATTTCTTTTATACTTAAAATCCAAGGTACTTACCCTAATGTCAAAGGAGGCAAAAGAGCGACCATTTCTGTACCCAGTGTGTTCTTGTCAACAGAGTGCAGGATGGAGAACTGAGAGGCTTTCTACCAACTGACACACAACACCGACAGAACTCAAGCTAAAAATAATGTGAATATCTACCATAGCAATGCATGAGCCTCATGGCCACTGGAATTGTTGCATGTGATGGCAGTTCTCCTACTTTATGAATGAGAGCTGAATTTTAATTACCTTCCTTCACTTACTTTGCAACTTGCATGAAAGTGGTGGAAACGGATTTAATTCTTGTTTCTACCAGAAAGCTTGTGTCCCCATATATCCTTTGCATTAAGGTAGTGATAAATTAGAAAAAGCACGGCAGCAAAGTCTCTTTAGATAGGCTAGCTCAGTGCCGTTTTTGTACTACATTTTACTTTGCCTGTTCTAAAAGAAATCAGATTTTACAGCACAGGACACAAGTCAAGAAGTAACATTTCTATAAATGACATTTTTTAGGATGACATGATTTGATTTTTTAAACTTTTATCCAAAGGAAAGCTTGAATCATCAAATACTGATTTCCCACCATGAAAAATCTAAGTCCTGGGTCAAGTTCAAATAGCTAAATAGAGAAAAGTTTCCCTACCCTGCAGCTAACCCTTGCCCTTGTATTCTTAATTGAACACCTGAAGTTGTGGCAAAAGGTTTATTGTTCCTGTCCTCACACGGTAGCACTGGACACTGAGCATCTCTGCCACTGGGTGCTCACAGGAGCAGGCAGATGAGAGAGAAAGCTTCCCGGGGGATGCAGTAGCCAGACAGGGAGCATGTGCAGGAGCAATGCTGTGACAGATTGTGGTCTGGCCTTGAGGTTAGAACACTTTAAGAGATTCAGTTGTACCTCGGGCTTTAAAGTCTGTTTACAATGCAGAGGTATGCGAAGATATATAGGAGAAGGAAAAACTATTTAAGCAACTGTAAAAGTTCATTTGAACAAGGGGAAAATAATGTTGCCACTCTGATCAGCAGAAACACAAGTGTTTTAGCAGAGAATAAAACAGCTTCTCTGGGGAGTTGGCTTTGTGACAGAAGTCAGTGGCAGAGGACGTAGATGTGTTCAGATAAATAAATAGTGTAAAGTTATTTTATGAACTCTTTTGAGTGTGTGTTTCTATGACTATCCTAAAACTCAGGTTTTTCCAAATATTCCTGTGAAAGTGGAAATCATGTGCCTTGCACATCTATTGACACAGAGGGCTGCATTAGATGTGGCTGACTGTGAACAGGGTTAATTTTCACTTGCTCATGGCAGACTTGGCTATCCAACCGGGAATAGCACTGATACCACTGAAGCTGCCCTGGCTGGCTTTGAAAACAGGCAGTATAGGAATAACTTGTTGTTCAGTGTGACTGTACAAGGTTCATGAAAAGGCAACGTAGCAGATGTCAGGTGACCCTCAAATTCAGTGGCTTAAATAGAGACAGTCAGTGACTTAACAAGGCTTAGTCTGCCGGTGCTTTCTGCTTTCCTCAGGACTTCCAGCTGGTGAAAGGCAGCTCCCCTCACGCGATCAAAGCACTGGCCTCCTCATCTGGAGGTGCTTTATTTCCCTATTGTGAGTCTGTAAATGATAACAGAAGGTGCAGAACCACAAGGGAGCTGAGGTAAAGCAGCTGCAGGAAATATTAACTGAAGTACATCATAAAAGCAAGATCTACTGCCAGTCACAAGAGGAACCTGTTCAGTGCAAGTGAGATTACATAAATATTTGTGATCACAAGAGGACCCAGCAAAATAACCAGAGCAAGACCAGAAAATATAAAGACCTTACTTGATTTTTCTTCTTTAATGTTGTACTCCAGCACACCAGGAGCCTCATTCTGCACTGGTAGGCGGACTGCAAGGACCATGTTGTTCACATTACCCTCTTTCCTAACTAAGAATATCTGAAAAAGGAGAGAAGAATCAAGAGCTCAGCTACATTATGTGAGCTTCTAAACTTTATTTTAGGTCATAGGCAATGTAGATTTTTATCAGTAAAATCCACCTTTAAATAGCCTTATTTTAGCTTTGTTCCACTTAGTTAAGCATTATGCAACAAAAATAATGGAGAAAGGGACATTTCATCTAAGTGAAATTCAGACCTGTGAAGGGACTCACGAAGTTTCTATGCATCACTGATGTCCCACTTATGTCTAAAGCAAACTATTTCACTAACTTAAGAGTTTAAAACTGCACTCACAAATTGTTAAGCAATGGTCCTCACATCAGTGCCCTAAATCACAGATGTGTCACCCTAGAATGTCCCAGTCCAGGTCTAAAGCAAGGGAGTCACTTGTACATTTAATGGGTAAGGATTTGAGTGTACATGAGTGGAACATAAAGCCAAAGGCTCTGGTGGCCACAATGTCCATGGCAGAGCTTTTGTATGGGACCAGAAGAACATTCAGGCTGTCAGGTATCCTGGGAGGGCCCTTCTCCAATCCCCTGGGTGAAGCCATGAGGCCAGACCAAGTTCCTCAGGGATTTCTCTGCACAAGTCTGGAGAATGTCCAAAGCTGGAGACTGAACAGCCTCTCTTGGCAATCTATCCCACCCCTTACTGTCCTCAGAGGGAGAAAATGCTCCCCTGCAACCAGTCTGAACCCTCTGGTTTCAATGTACACTGTTGCCTCCTGTCCTCCCACCCTGCAGTTCTGAGCACAGCCTGGCTTTATCTTCTCCATGACCTCCCTGCAGGTACCAGGGGTTGCTGTGTGGTCTCCTGAAGTTGTCCTCTGGTTGAACAAGCCCTGTTCCCACAGCCCTGTCCTCAGTGGATCTGTACCCAGCTCACTGGCCACCATCCCTACAGGTCCTTTCCCACAGAGCTGCTCCACCAAGAAAAAGGAAAAATGCCTCATTCTTTGTATTGTGTGAGATCCTAAGTGTGTTTCTAATTAAAGCTCATTGTCAGGGATATTTTTAGCTTGTATCTTGAAGGTGCAGATACAAAGACAAAATAATCTTCACCTTCAGCTGTTCTTTGATAGTAAGCTTAGGCAGAAGGGAGTCAAGGTATTTTTAAAAAAAAACTGAATTAAAAAATTAAGCTAATTTTGTAGCCTGGATATTAATATTAGAAAGAGAAGTGTGAGTTGATAAAATCATTAATCAACTGTAATGTATGGAAATCTAGCAAAAAAACATTAATTTCTTGGGCAGAGGAATTTTTAAAAATCTTGTCTAGAAGCCAGGAGTTTTCCCTGCCATGAGTCCCAGTCATAAGGGCATCTCCAGTCACTTTGAAGCACTCATGCTGAACACACAGCTTTAGGGCTGCTTCACAACCTCACACAGTGCTGTCATCTTGGCCTCTGAGTTCAGAAGAAATGGAGCCCCAGAGGCTCAGGTCTACCATCAGGGCAGAGAAAATGCAAATAAATGTACAGGTGTATGCCTTACACAGGCTGATTTCTAGTGCAGGGCAGCCCCCACCTTCTGTGGCAGTAAGTGTCTGAAGGGAGGAGGCAGGTAGGATCTGCAGGGAGAGGTTCCCTTGCCCAGGTCCTACCACCCACAAGGCAGTGCTGTCCCTCTAACCATGACTGCCAGACAGCACCATCTTATATTGCTACATCTGAAATTTAATCTAAGCAACAAGGGAAATGAAACCTGGAAATGAATCACTTCTTTTTTCCTCATCGGCACGCCTGGTTGCCATGGATCCAAAGGCTAAAATTGGACTATGGCTGTTCAGAGAAGTAGGAGATGGGTTTTCTGAGCTGTACTTAACCCTACAGCCTGGGTCAGGACTGGTATTGAAATCAGTCTCTTCTATTTTTGCCACAGGTGGGAATGGTGCTACCCAGTTTCAGGTGGGCTCACAGAGGGCAGGAGATGCTGCCTTTGTTGTGGGACGCCTCTGATGCACCTCCTCTTCTCCTGCCTGCTGAAGGCTGTGCCCAAGGGCAGTGTGAGCAGGAGGAACAGGCAAGATGCTTCCCCAAAGCCTCTCGGAGCCTCTCCCTCCTGCCTGCAGGGAATGGATAATGGCTGAGGAGGCTTGGGGCCATACATGGCTACATCACAGTCAGTCACACACATCTCCACTTACAGACAGAGAAGAAAAACAAAGAGAATTACTTGCTCAAACTAATTGAAAAATCTGATTCAGAGTGAGGTGCACTGCACAGCCCAGGCTACTCAGGTCAATTCTGCTGGAGGGTGTCACTCAGCTGCGCCAGCATTTAATGCTGGGATAGACTGACTCAGCCAAGGGACAGGTCCAAACATCCTCAGAGCAGGTGTGCCCTGACATCAGCTCAGGTCTTTGCACCTGTCCTTCCAGAAGGATCCAGCCGGGACATCTATAGCCTGCTATGCCTCTCCTCTCAGACCTCTCGGGAAAGGGGAGCAGCTCCTCTTGGCACAGAGCTGTTTTCCTTAAGCAAGCTCTGAGCTTTGCACAAGTCTATAATTCTCTAATACTCAGGTTATGCAAAACAGACACCAGTTGTTGCAATAAAAATGACTCGCAGTAGCTCCCTGAATCTAAGGTCCTTTTCTTCACAGATTTTTTTTCATTGCTCCAGATTAGGATAATGACCATACTTGTGGGTATGGTGGTGAACAGGAAGCCATCTCCATAATTCTACATGGTAAGTAAATAAAACCAGAGATAATATTCCTTGTTTTCCCAAAGGAAATATATCTGTTTTGTGCTGTTGAGAGAGGTAAAGCATCAAATTGTAATGGAAACAGAGAGTAATCTGCTAAATATTTTTGCTTCCACATGAAAAAAAAAGCACTGCTCTCCTAACCAAGGACAGGAAATGTGGCTGTCTGAACTGGAATCGCTTTGGACTTACCCCTGCTGTTTCTTTGCCAAGGATCGCCCCAGCTCTTTCCTGGCTCATGTTCAGCTGAAGCCAGACAGGACATGTCTTGATGAGTTTGTCAAGGATGCTGATCCCTGGAAGCTGGAGGCAATTTCGCACAGCAATGGCCTGACAGAGATGTGTCTCTTTCCCCTCTTCACTGGTATCTCTGACAGGGCTGAAACACAGCAAGGGTGTCCCTGATAAGCAGAACGGCAAATGGAAAACTGGGGGGAGTAAAGACTGTAAGTGCAAACACAGAGGCAGACACAAGGGCACTTAGACATCAGGAATGCTTCTTGAGGGGCATCAGACCACAGGCACATTGCTATGCCAGCAGGCTGGCAGGGTGCTTTGTGCTCAGCTCTGTTGTGTTTGGCTCACCCATCAATGCTGCCTAAGTACAGGTGCCCACAGTCACAGGAAAGGTATGCACAGGGGCAGCCAGAGCCACAGAGCATTGAGCATGCCTGTCCCGAGATTCCACCCTCCAGCTGAAGGGTCTGAGAGATGTTTCGTGGCTTCAAAAGTAGCAATGCAGCAGGGGAGCCCCTGCAGTCTAATGGCAGACCGGTGTTAAATACTGGCTTTGAGTTATGGTGCTGATTTGACGAAGTATTTATACATGTGTTTAGCTCTGCAGGCAGTGGAAATACTTGTGCTGAAATGTCTGGTCACAGACCATGGATAAGACCATAGACTCATGGGAATATGGGCTTGTCATTAGTTTGATTAATTGATTTTATATTTAAAGAAAAGGTAAGAGAACATACACAAAAAGTGTTTTGCTGCTCTGATTTTCTGCTTTGATGTCAGAACTGAAAATAGGACTCTCACTTTTTATTTGTTCTTACTTCAAATATTTTTTCCTTTCCCTTTTATTTTTAAAGATACAAATCTTAAGGTACTACATTTTAAATAAGGTCAGTCCTAAACTACTGAAGAGAGTAATGTCAAAGGCCTAACCTAACACAGTAAGTCTGTCCCAAAAGTCAGTTTGTATAAAAATAGCCTTTCAATTCCCAAAAGCAACACAGAGATTTAATTTTTAGCAGTTTTTTTTTCTTTTTCAACCCTTCACAGACAGCTTTCTCATAAAATACAGGCACCTCTGTAATACTGGTTTTAGATTAAGGGTATTAGTTCACAGAACCTTTTAATAAATTATTTTAATAAATCTTTTTTTAAGATCATAGTCAAGAGTAGTACTGAGAGAACTGTGCTTAAAAAAAAAAAGCAAATTGAAATAAGTGAAACTCTCTCTTTACTTGTGATAAAAGCCCAGCTTGTCACATAGTTGAGGGAATTTCTTTCAGAGGTAACAGCTTGTGATTTTAATCAATATAATCTGAACATATAAAGTAAAACAATGGAAGACAGCTTTTGGAAGTTACCCTGAGTCATCACTTGGGGTCTTTTTACAGAAGAAATGACCAAAAAAAAGCCTTGTAACCATGTGAAAGGAAAATATATGTTGGATGGCAATATTCATACTCTGTAGTGGGAAAGAAGTAATGAATTGAAGGGAAAGTTGACATATAATGAAATGTTCCATAACAGCAAAAATTACTCCCCTAATTAGTCACATAGGTATGAACCTGGTCACATCTGAATGATGTGTGAACCCTGACTCAAAAGGAGGTCATTGCTGTAATGTCCTCCGGTGGCACCAGGGGACATGTACAGCCACAGCTCCTGTGGTGCAGAACTGTGTTAGCCATTAATTATGTAAGGTGGGGCCAGCAAAGCACTGATGCTCAGGAATCCCATTGCCTGGAGGGAAATGAGGGTTATCAACAAAGTCAGGAAAGTAACACAAACCAGCTTGGACCTGGTGAGCATCAGGCACACAGTGACCCTGGCACAGGGTTCCCTGCTGGGGGTGCAGGCATCCATCCCTCTGCTCCCTCCCACGGGCACATCATCTGAGAGCCCTGCTCACAGCACCAGCTGGGGGTTGGCAACAAGAACAGACTGGTGAAGAAAAATAACAGAACTACATGAGGCTGCATGTAGGGTCTAACTTTTGGAGAATGGATAGAAAATTGAAAATAATTCCAAACTCAGACATACAAGATGAAAAAGTAAGAGCCTGAAAGTGTTTGCCTTAATGGAAAATCTCATTATTTGAGTGTGTGGAGTGTTTCAGTGCAGCAAATTTAGGGCAGTGGATAAGGTTTTTGTTTTTTGGCACAACAGGAATCCAATATTTTGTGGGCCCTCGGGGATGAGGTATTCTCCTCTCAAAAGCCAGACCAGCCTGGAAGGAGCTAAGCAGGCTCTTGTACCTGTAGAGAGGGAAGAAAGAACAGATGAGTGAAAGGGGATACTGTAGCAAAAGGAGAGACAGGAAGAGTCTTTAATGGCATCTTATGGAATCAGGGGAACGTTTGGTGAGACATTTCCTGTCAGTGACTTATAAGAGATGATGGATAAATTCCCAAAAGAAGAGGATTGCATTGTCCAAATCTCTTAAAATGCTGGGTTTGGACCAGTAGCACACACTTTATTGAATCAAATCTGTGCTGGCTAAGAAATGCGAGTGAATGACCTCCCAGACCTTTTTCAGCTGTAATGCTGTGACCCATGACACACCAGTTGACGCAGTTATGGCACCAATGTTTGACTTCTGTCCTGGGCACAGCTGTCACAAAGATTTGGATAGGGCTGTGGGAATGCTTAATCCAGCAGTTTAATCTGGCTCTGCAGTAGCTCTGTGACTTCACAGAGAGGAGGGAGCCCAGGGAGCTCCTGTGTTCTTGCTGTGCTGCCAGTTGAAGGGATTTCCAGGTCCACCATGGTGAGCAGCTGGCCTTTCCGATTTGCTGAGAATTCATGCATCAGATGATTTCTAAAGCCTCAGTTTTCAAAAATAACATAAAACTCTGTTCTTGTCCCACAGTCCTGCAAAACCCTTTGGCTGATAGAGGCAGGTGCTCATTTTGCTAGGCGAGATGTAGAGCTGAAAAGCTGTCCCTAGAGCTGCCTGCTTTTCTTTTCTTTTATTGAGTTCCTACCGCAAAAAGTATGTTTAAATCTTGCAGTGGTTCTGCTAAATTGGATTCAGTTGGGAAGCAGGGAGCTGTGTGCTGCATACTAACTGGCTGCACAGGCTAATTAATTGCACAGTGATTACATTTACACACCTGCCCCGGGCTTCCAGAAGGTATCAGGTTGCTCGTTGGAGGCAATAATAATGACAGTGGTGGTTTGAATTATTGCCCAGTGACTGTACACTGCAGTAATGACCACCATGGCTCATTGCTTTAGAAACCAAAAGCCACACTTGCCAATTGAATATTCCCAGAAGTCAGCAGACCAGCAAGGAGATATAATCCACTTAATTTTGTGCGGGTGAAAGCCTGAGCATACCTTTACAAAGGGTTTCAAAAATATTGTCAAAAATCTGCTGACACTAAGGGCTTCCTGGCTGGACTGTATGTGTCTGGTCACTCTGAATTTCCCTGAGGCAGCTGAGACACACAGCAATTGTGTGAAACAGCAGCAGGGACTGCCGGATTAATTCTTTACTCCTGTACATTTGCTCTGAGAAGAGACATAATGTGTTTTTAAAACTAAATGTTAAATTGGAAATCAAATGCTCCATAGTGCACTGATAAGTAGTTGTTTAAATAGACCAGATTGTAGAATTAGATTATTAGATGACATCATTATTATGTTTTATTGCTTTTACTTCTCCCTCTGAAAATGAGAAGATATCAAGAAAGAGCAAGAGCATGCGTTTGCTGTGCTGTCCTCAAGGAAAGAAATACAATACTATATTTACATTTATAGCAGAGCACGAACCACAAGTCTTAAAATGTGTGCCAGCTGGCTTGATACTGAGGGAGAATCCCAGACACTCAGTCACAAACTCCATGTGCCAGGTGATAGAGCAATTTTGCACCAAAGCTAGCTGGTACCTGAAGAGATAGCATGTGAGACAAGCCAGCTTGTGACTGAAGCTGACATGTGGAAACCCTTCAAGCACGGTGGTTATAAGGAGCACCTGAAGTAGGAGGAAAAGATAGAAGTTGCTGAAGCCATCAGAGCAGTCCTGATGGAAGCTGATAGACAGTGTTAATTCCTGTGGTTAAAAGAGACAGCTGGAAGCATGGAGCTTCATGGAATGGCTGACATGACAGTGCTGAGATTTAAAGTCTGAAAGAAGACTCACAGGGATGGTTTATGTCCTGTGTCACAGCCAGCCCAGCTGGACTTGGCTGCAGGGCTCTGTGCCACTGGCTGTAGGGGCAGATCTTTGTATCCCTTTTTTTCATAGTCACCTTCTTTCCTTACAGGAATAATTGAAGTTCTGTGAACAGCAACTAAAGTACAAGGTTTCACCCATTGCAAGAAACAGAGCTGCCTATACTTTCTTTGGTTTGGTATCACTTCTGATTAGACAGGTGTTGAGGAACACATTGAATGGAGGTAGCTTGGTGTCCAAACTGCACAGACTTTTTAAAAATCTTTGCTCAAACACAAAAGCACATGTGAATTCATGTGCTGTTACTTTCAGTTCACTGTCAGGGAAGTTACGCAGTGCCACAACTAGAGGACATCAAGCTTTATTTTGCTTTCATCTTAGAAATGTCCATTTTTTGATGCCGTCTACTTATTCGCATAAGCCAGACCTTCTTTGATCACTTGATCAGTTCAGATCAAATTAATCCTCCAAGGAGGAGAATGATTAATTTGGTCACCTTGCTGGGTTCTTCTTTCTTCCAACAGGTGGTGGAAGTGAGACCCTGAACCCAACCTAGCTGCCAAAAGAGCTTCAACATCTTTAAAATTCTGGAGTTTTTTCATCCTAAACCAGAGTATTAGGAAGATGGGAAGGCAGAAAAGTAATATATTGAAAAGCCCCATGGTGCAAAAGCTAATTTTGCGCACCAAACATGGACCCTGACTTGCAGAAAATTCAGGTTTTAATAAGTGCTTTTTCACAACAGAGCCAAGGCATCTGACAAAAGTCAAACAACTGAACTGAAATAAAATAACCAACAGTGAAAAATCCAGAAGTAGAAAGGAAGTTCTTGAGATCTTCAGGGATCACACCCAGCTAATTGTCACCCTCTAGTCAGAAATAAACAAGTTTCTTGTTGTCTGACAGGCAGAAAGAGGGGGGAAAGAAGTGGGATGTAAAGCAAGTCATTGGAGCTTGCTGCATTGTAA